CTTTGAAAGAATCCTTTCCTTTCATCATTCCTTTCTTGCCCTTTTTACCTTTTCCTTTTCCCTTGCCTTTTCCCCAGAAAGCTGTGTCTTGCTGGTCATCTTCCCATGCTGCAAAACCTTTGCCTTTTGACCTCGAGCGGAAACCGGGTCTTGATTTCTTTCCTCCTTTCTTGCCATAACCCTTTGGTCTACCTTTCTTGAAGGACCTGCCGTAGATGCGGCGCTTAGAGTATGAACCCTTGGCGCTGAGAACCCAGAACTCGTTCTCCGTGTACAGACCTGTAAAACCTTCTTCACCCGTCTCTTCATCGAAAACCCAAAATCCGTACTCACCTTCTTCGGTCTCGCCCTCGTCGATGACGTAGAAGTTGGACCGCTTGCGGTGCGTGATATTTGGGTCTGCAACACCTGTGCGGGAAACGGCAAAAAGTTCCAAGAACAGCTGTTTCACTTGGAGATAGGTGTATTGAGGCATTGCAATCTGACGGATGTTCATGGACGAGACAAAGCGCTCTCGCTGTTGCTCGTTGAGGTCTGCTTGCACTAGAAAAATCAGTGACATCAAATTGTCTGACAATGGAAATTGCTGTGCATGTCTGGTCCTTCTATTGGTTATGGTCTGTTCTCTCAGTTCTTGTTGATAAGCTAGCTTATCTTCATCTGTTACTATTCCATTATAGTGCAGTCTTTGCTCATCTGTGAGTGCTGCCGTAAATGCCTGAGTGCCTGCCTCGGGGAGATCGGATATGTCCAGCAGATCGGACCAAGAAGCCAACAAACGCTTCTGCGCGATCTCAAATCGCCCTATCCAGTGCACGAATTCACTCTGGCCTCGATATGTGCGAAACATCTGGAGGAATCGCCAAAGGAACACATGATTTACTCCCTTCACGAAGTATGGTCTCAATGTGTCCTTGAAATGAGCGAGGCCACGATCCGGATCTCGGAGTAGGGCATTATCGAGCATCGACTTATAAAAAGAAGCGGAACCAATGAGGGCATTCTTTAATGATGGTCCGTGTTTATCTGCATCCAATGTTGTGATCCCTAACCAGTCATCAATTAAATCTTCATATTCAAACCAGCTTGATTGGCCATCAAATTGGGGTGGAACCTTTGGTGTCATTTTGATGCCCATCCGGTTTTCGGAATGACTGGTGGCGGCATATGCTTCAGGCTCTTCATAAGAGACAATCTGGAGTTGTTCTTCATCTGAATCCATGTTGTGGATTAAGACCATGGCAGCTACTCTAACTTGACCTACAGGTTGCCTCCGCAAGTCCGATATACGGAATGTATGCAGAGAACGGCAGTTCGGCACACAGATCTAGACTTGGCGAAGGCACAGGCTCCGCTACCACTTTGAGGTAGCTTTCCCCTTTAAGGGAGCCCTGGAAACCTAAGTAAACACCTGTGGCAAGCAGAAGCGACTACACTCTTTTTCTACACGCGGAATTGCTGCTAGTCTTGAGCCATGCGGAGTGCGCATGAAAGATATGAATTAAGAGTACATGTCAACATGCATGAATGCATTGTGAAGACACGTAAAACAAAATAAATCACAGGGGGGAGGGGTAGGGGGGGTCCCCCCCTTTCGCGTGAAAAATCACGTGATGTCCTTGAGCAGCCCCCGGAATACTTGCTAAAGCAAGAAGACTCCAGCTAGCTGACGCTAGCTTTCGTGAAAAATAATGATGAAATGGTGAGTGTCTCGTCGAAAATATGTTGGGATAGTGTATTGGAAACCTGAGCAAACTGCTGAAGCTGCCACGAGAGGCACGCGAGATCTTCAAGCCAAAATTCCAAAGCGGCGCAGAGGGTTTGTTCCAAAATGCAAATGGATTCCAAATGCAGATGGCTATTCAATGTTACTGATATGGTTCAACTTCTAGAATGCAACTGCTTGCTGGTGGATCGACATGGATCCTGCCATGCTTTGATCAACTTATCGAGTTCACAGGACCCTATCGGGTCCACTTTTCGGCGTAAAATCCTGATGCTGTCGCTGGTCTCCGTCGAATCTGACAAGACTGGGAAGTGGAACCGCTCCCAGTCAGGTACAAGGTAGCCACAAATATTGATACAATTCAACAGGTTTGAACACTTTCTGCTGCAAAGGAAAAACATATCCTCAAAAGAAGGTAGACAGGTTTTAGCTGCAGTGATGAAAGTCCTAAAGTTCCAAGGTAGCTGTCTAAAGTTTTTAGCTGCTTCAAATTCTAGCCGGTTCCCATCAGTTCCCTACACTCTGCTTGGCTTCGCTTCGCCTCATAGACGCTCCGGACTCAGGCTGCCCCAGGTCCATCCCCGTGGTAGGCTCGCAAGCGAAGGTTGCTACCTTGCACCTGGCGATATCTGATAGGTGTGTGTAGATTCATACATCCACGTACATTGATTTATTTAGGTATTCTATGTTTCTATAATCGCCATATATCCCCATTATACATGTATGTTTAGGTGTATTAAAATGAAACAAAAAATGTATGAGACCAGATTGATTGGGGGTGAACATCTATTTCGCAGCTGTTTTTGTTGGTCTTCGGTCACCAGGGTTTTGACCCATCCGGAAGGCATGCCAGAAGAACTCGCCGATGGTCGAGCTCTCGAACTGCAGTCTCTGCATCTTCCCTTGCCTGGTGACAGCAGTGTTTCCTCCAAAACTGTCAAGATGTGTAAAGGAAGTCAATTGACTCATAGCAAACTTCCCAGCTTTTAGTGATATCAACCATTAACCCACGGGTAAAATGAGTCGTTGGGATTTTCTGGGTTGTATGACATTGTCAACACCAACAGCACGGCAGATGCTGTAGATACTGTAGATCCATCGCACGTGCCTGGAATTCTAGCATGCCATAGTAGATCCCTTTGGTCTGCAGGCATGGTGCAAGATGAAAATGTTGAACAGGGCATCTTCATGGAATGAGGCCAACATTAGCTTGATATGATAGACGTGCTAGTGGAAACGTTTGCAAAAATACAACCGGTGTGCATCCTTCAACTTAAGCGCAGTGCATGTAGCATTACTTACATTACTCAAACATCGCCAATTTGACTGACGGCCTTGTAACACTTGGCGAAAGTGACAGATGGGCCAAAGTCCTGCAAATGTGCTGCGACTTCAACGTTTGGCAAATCTGTCAGTGCAGTGCGTCTTTGACTTCGCGCTATGAAACAGCTGGACCTTCCCAAGATCCTTCAGTTCGACCCTCAGGTGTCAACAATTTCTCGGGTCAGAGGGGTTGAGGAAATGTCTATCTTGAGCCATTTTTAGGGGCTGTCTGGCATCCATGCGATCTAACAGCTCAAAGTTTGAAAGCAACAGCCCCAGAGAACACAAGAAACCAGACCTCTTTTGTTTTGTTTCTTCATGAACTACACCTCTAAAAAATTACAAAAGAAACAACCGTACAGCTGCGGAAATTGAAAAAAGGATTGGGTGAAGCATTTGCATAATTTGCATACATATAGCTTTTCCCAGATCTGGGAAAACAGAAGCTCTTGGGTTCAGACCATGACATGTCATCTGGCAAGTTTTCCACTGTGATCTTGTGCCTCGAACATCTTGCAACATGCTGGGATGCTGCAAAAGGATGCAAAAGGAAGATTTCAAGAAATTGCCTAGATATGGAGCATACCCCAGAACAATTCTAATGGGGAAGGGATGATAAATCATTGGATTTTGGGGTAGCCCATTTTCAGACAAAGCCATGTGCGAGACCTGGCCAGAGATACAAGCTTGGGTGACCAAGTAATAACCACAGCGTGGGGCGATTTTGTGACCCTGACGCGAATCAGCCCTTCGCATCTCATAGCTGCGTTTGGGACCTAGAATGCTGCCAGTTTTTCGGTGATTGAGCGTTCTTGTGATAATTCCCAGCCAAGCTCGGGAATAGTGTTGAATAGCGGCAGGGTGCGCTCTTCCACCCGCTCCATGGCAGCAAACAATATGCGCAATAGGAGGAATTTATGTATTGTTGGCCATACCTTTTGTGATACTGCACTTCTCTCCGCGGAAATTTGCTTTCTGAACCATAGGACTTGCTACTCTTCCTCCCTTCTTAGATCCTGTGGTTCAGAAGAAGCATTGTGGTGAACAAAACCAGCACGCTTCTGGAGCCACAAAGAAGGTGTTTTTCATCTCATTTCCCCTCAATCCAAATTTATCCAGTTTCCCAAATCTTCCAGTTCCGCCTGCCGACTGGAATTTTCTCCCGTTGGCTTGTATCAAAGTCATCTCGTCGGCCTGAGTTTTTTTTTGCATCGCGGCATCTCTGGGTTTCGGACATGACATGAATATGACATGAATGACATTGAATCAGATTGGTGAATTGAGTGGAATCGTAAGCGTAAAATTGATGTGGGGTAAGGGAAGCACACTTCACCCGATTGACTTGGCGCCACAGGCAGGATATATTCAAAGCAGGAATTATATAGTACTGGAACTTGATGCCTTACCCGCCTCATTAAAACGAATCATGTGGTACGAGGTTGATGAAAGAATTCCGGCAACTTCACTGGCCCTTGAGCATGTCTCTTCAAGTACCGGATGTTGCTCGAATCGGGTGACAGGCTTCCTATGCAAACCCACTGAAGCCCAAAATCGTTAAACATCCATAGTCAACCTCCGATGTTTTTTTTCGTACCCAAGTCTTAGCACAGACATCATTTCCGGTTGGGAAACCAAGTCTTGTTCATCTCATTCAGAATCCAACAGCCACTTCGCACGCTTCACAGATCTCAGCTCCAGGCGGGGTTGCTCTGCTACACGTTCTGGTACTCGCTCTACAGGCGGACCTCGGTAGTACCTGGCGGTCCCCAAGTCTTTCATAACGGTCTTCAACATTTCATCGGATTCGTCAATCTGAAATAATCTAAATATTTGTTTTAAAAGAAAAAAACAGAAAGGCACATCTTCTAAAACAGCCAGGCTTACACATCTCGAGGAGGACCCCGCTCCTGCAGTTCACCATTCACAGTTCATCCAACAGCTCACATCGTGTTCAAACAACAGCTGCGGCAGTCCTGGAAGTCTCTGCTGTCAGCACGTTGTCTGACATCTCCGCGTCGGTCTTCGTACCGATCGCCTGTCAGCTTCACAAGCAGAAACATGGATGAGATGAATAGATTTAAAAAAATGGAAGAATGAAGATGAATAATGAATCAAATGAACCAAATGAATCAAATGAATCAAATGAATCAAATAAGATGAATCGATGAAACAGAAGGAAAGTAGAAATGAGAAGCAGAACCTAGTAAGTGATCTTCCTCCAGCATCGGCAGCAACATGTCCTTCCATGCCCATGCCACAATGTGTCGCATCATGGCATGTTGCCATGCCTGGATATTGATCCCTTCCTCGGGGAGGGGGGTAGTCCATCCGCTGATCTCGCATCTCACGACCATCACGGCCATCACGGCCACGATCTCGTGGATCTCGCTCTCGGCCGCGAAAATCGCGTGGCTCTCGCTCTGGGTGTCGATAGTCGCGTTCACGAGAATCGCGCTCTCTGTATCCTTGACCTGACATCTCACATCAAATCACATCGTCACCAGTCGGAAACTACCCAGGCAGTTTGCCATCTTGTACTATTCATGCTAAGTGCAGAAGCATGCGACAGTGGTGAATAAAACTGCAGAAACCCTTTGCAAAGAGGGAATGTTCTACTTTCACGCTTGTTTAAGATAGTACACTTTAATGGTACTGAAGCCAAGGGATCCTCCCCTTCCTGTTTTAGAGGCCTTGTCGGCCATCGTCACGCCAACGACTGTTCTCAAAGTCTCGCTGATCACGGTCACGCCATTCTTCCTCAACAAAAAGTTATGGGGCACATTCCCAGTGTAACATCATGCAACATCATGCAACATCAACGACTCAGGTTCGTCCTGATAGGATCTACCCCTCTCGCCGTCTTGGTATGACCTTCTTCCGCCGTCTCGCCGCTCCCCCCGACCTTCACATGACTCGAAACTGATAAGCGGGTTAAACCAAGGATGATTCTGCAACCAAAACCGGGTGATTCTGAAACCAAAACCGATGATTCTGCAACCAAGACTGATTCTGAAACCAAAAAAAATGATTCTGAAACCAAGGATGATTCCGAAACCAAGGACACCTGGAAACCAAAAATGGCACGGCTCAGCAATCAAGCGGTGTGCATTTCTTTTCTTTTCGAAGCATCAAGGCGGAAGTTGCACAATAGGAAACCTATAGGACAGGTTGGTTGTTGAGAATCACGGATGGCAGAGCGAACACACTGATGGATCCACAGGCGGACTATCTATCTGTCCATCTACCTATCTATCTATCTATCTATCTAGCTATCTAGCTCTCTAGCCATCTAGCAATCTATCTATCTCTCTATCAATCTATCTGTCCATCTATCTATCTAGCTATCTAGATCTCTAGCTCTCTAGAGAGCTCTAGCTATCTGGCTATCTGTCTATCTATCTATCTATCTAGCTATCTATCTATCTAGCTATCTATCTATCTAGTTAGTTAAGTTGGCTACGTTAATCAAGTTAGTTAAGTTAGTTAAGTTAGTTGCGTTAGTTAGTTAAGTCAGCTAAGATGAGACAAGTTACTTAGTTGGTTGGTCAAGTGAGTTAAGTTAGTTAAGTTAGCTAGCTACTTAATTTAGTTAAGTTGGCTAGCTAGTTAAGTTAGTTGGGTTAGTTCCGTTAGATCAGTCGGTTACGTTAGTAAAGTTAGTTAAGCTAGTTAAGTGGTTTACGTGAATTAAGTTATTTAAGATAGTTGGTCAAGTTACCTCAGTTACTTAGTTAGTTTGTTAGTTAAGTTAGTTAAGTTAGTTAAGGTAGTTATGTTAGTTAAGATAGTTAGGTTAGTTAAGTTAGTCGAGTTAGTCAAGTTAGTTAATTTAGATATTTAAGTTAGTTAGTTGTGTGACAGAAGTTTCGAAAGAGGGAAGAACCTATAAAGATCTATAAAGACAAGGGTGAGCCTGCCCCTGACCACCTGCCTAGAACAGCTGTGGACGGCGTGATCTCTTGAGAGCCTGCCTCCATGCACTGGAAGATTATTGTCTCCTCATCTGGAAACGATGCCATGTTGAGTGTGACAGCACGTATGTCGACGAGGGAACGCGGCTGCAAGGACGTTATTGTCCCACCCCCACCCCACCCCACCCCACCCTACCCCACCCCGCATCTGGAGACGATGCCATGTTGAGTGTGGCCGCAAGTGTGACGCGGATTTTGGTTTCTGAATCGCGTGGATGGTGGTTGCGGAATCATCTTTTTTTGGTTGCGGAATCGGGTTTTTTGGTTTCGGAATCGGCTTTTTTTGGTTGCGGAATCGTCTTTTTTTGGTTGCGGAATCGTCTTTTTTTGGTTGCGGAAGCGGCTTTTTTTGGTTGCGGAAGCGTATATGTTTTCGGTTGCGGAATCGCCGAAATTTGGTTGCGGAAGCGTCGAAATATGGTTTCGGAATCGGAATTTATTCTGATAAGCCCATGGCCCATGGCCCTTGGTCACCAACCTCAGCCACCCTGCACAGCGATCTTTCATGGATGCATTCCCTATCACTAGGGCCTGGTGTCCGGCTTCTGGGCATGGGTCGACGGTCATTGAAACTGTCCTTAGCAGGTCAAAACATCAGAGAAGTGTAAGGAGTTCCACGAGCTTCCTAATGGAAAAGGAAACCCTGAGCTTCAGACCCCTCGGCCGTAGCCATAGCCACCCTTACCACCAGGGGCCTCCCATGCTACGATCACCAACACTGTGACCACAGTGGCGCCGGCACGTTACTGTCACTGCGCCTCTCGTCTGCTCCGACTGTCTTGCCGTCTTGGTGGACGGTCTTGACGCTCCTGCAACCACTTACAAAACGGGAGTGCACATGACTAGATCAGCAATGGCCCAGATGGCCCATATGTTCTTATCCTTTTCCTGCGGAGAATGTTTTGCATTTCCACAAGAAGGGCACGTATCGAGGCTTGGCAATATGGGCCGTGATAAGCAAGACCGATGCATAGATCCCAAGCATGGCTCCATCAGAATGTCACATGAAGATGGCTGATAAACGAATAAGTTTTTTCTGCAAGTTCACAAGGATGTTTTGCAAACATGCCATAACCATTGGAAACTGCGAAAATGGGTCAAAGCCAAATCCAAGATATAATGATATGTAGATCGTGCAAGTGTCAAACAGATCTGTCCTGAAACTTCTTTTTGTCAGCAGTTGCAGGCTGAGCGCAGACCTGTGACTTGGTGGATATCGCTTTCCAGGAAGAGCACAACATCAGCAAATTGTGCTGTGTGTTCTAAGTTGAAAGCTCTTTCGCCGAGACCCGTAGACTGGTCAAGCATCTCGATTGCTTTGTCCATGTCCTGCAACTGCAAAGCAAGTACCACAAGTACCGCAGTACCTTGTTGAGATTAGTTGATGAACATGAGAAGTGCGCTATCCTTCTGGTTGGTCAACTGGATGAAGCAAAAGGTGTCTTTGGCGGAACTCCTCGCTCGGGGTTCCAGGATGAAACCCTCAAGAATGAATCTCGGAGGCAAGCTAGGGTACAACGACTGATGCGCCTCATGCTATGCATAAAAGAGGACCCAATATGGTTACGGCTACAGGTGTCATGTAGTTTTGCACACGGTAAAAGTCACATAGTTTGGTGTCATGTAGTTACGGAGCAAATTTAATAGTAGTACAGCACTCGACACATGAAAATTCTGCCCACTACTACCCCCAGCATTGATGCCCAAAATCCTGGCTTAAGCGGGTTATGTCCGCTCACCCGGGCTTCACTTGACAAAAATGTAAATCTCCTGAGTATGACAGCCTTAACCTCCGCAATCTGCCCGACAGCATCCCGGATCTGGCAGTGCAGGTGTCTTGAAATTCAAGAAGCTGACAAACAAAAGGAGACTCTGAAAGTTCTTCAAGAGACTGCACTATTCAAAGCAAGAGCACCTCATCTTCCGTGATATCTTTGTGGAGTCCTTCCACCAAAGTAGTTCAGACCAGCTTTTACAGTAAAAGGTTGCCACTGCTTTCAGATGCATCATCGAAGTACTCTGAAATTGCCAAGACCTGCCTCCACACCACAGCCGGTAGCGCCTTGCAAAACACAAAGTCTCCAGGCTCTAGTGCGAAAGTGTGCATCTTCTGATGTCATATTACAACTTCGGCCAAGGTCTGCCAAAAGAATGCATTTCTTGCTTGTGGTTTTCTGCACTGGGATTCTGAGGAGCGTGCAAAGGACCTGGAGAAGCTTCGCGTGCCGCCATGTCCTCACAGATAGTCTAGCACGTACATACATAGATTCTTAGATATAGTATATGATATGTCCATGTCCACGTAGGTACATTTGTATTACTGTAATTTACTGTATGTATAATATATATATATGTTTTATTTATTTATTTATATGTATGCGTATACGTATACGTATACTTATATGTATATGTATATGTATATGTATGTATGTGTATATGTATATGTATATGTATATGTATATGCGTATGTATATGTATGTGTATATGTCATAGATATGTACGTATACATATCTCATATGGCTAGTCATAAAAACTGTCTCGCTGGCAAATGATCTGTGGATCTCTGGTCAAGTCTTGCTTCAACACTGCGCCGCTCACTGCGCCTTCGCTTTAAGGTCCCAGAGCTGTCTCAGGCATTCTCAGGTGTCTCGGTATCTCTGGGGTCTACAGACCCTCGGTAGTTTTCACAACAGTGGAGGAAGTGCTTCTTTTTTCCCTCCCAAATCAGTTTGCTTTGATTTGTTGGGAACTTTCTTGTCATCGTGCAGACTGCTGGAAACGCTAAACTTGATGGCAAATATTGCGGATTCTGAGCATCACAATGTCTCCAGACAGAGCATCCCAAAATCAAGGGTCCCAATGAACTAACATCATCAGGTACAGTACTCGCATATTCTTTACGTAGACAACGTACAGAGAGAGTTGCCATTGCGAATCTTGACCATTGTTGGCAGCTCAAATGTCAGTGAAAAAGATAAACGGTACTACCCGGTACTCCACCTTTGGGTACTGTGTCAAGGCTGGTTGCCACACGCCAAAGCCGCTGTTTTTTCTTCCCATCTGTGTTCAATCGCCGGTGCCAAAGATGCCAGGCCCCGTCATCGAGCTCCTGCTGCATCTGCCTGGGGATGAACCGGGAGATTGTGCAATGACTGGTGCAGCTGAGCTCCGCCCAAACCGAAGGTGCCGAGGCGTTTTTGTTGTGCATGCGTGCGGAAGCAATTGCAATAATTAAGCTTTAGCTTGGGGACATTTTTGCTCTTGGAATTGCGGGTTTCCCCATTTTCGAAAAGGCCGCAAAATCCCCTAAGCTGCCAAATATAATATAGGTCCGACATAGGTCCAACATTACCACAAGACGGGCCCTATAGGCCCAAATGGCCCTGACGCTGGACCCAACATAGCGCCAAGACAGGCTCAATTTGGCTCAATATATCCAAATAATCTAACATTGCCTGAGCTCCAAGTCCGCTCTAGATCTTTCCATACCAATATGGTTATAGTTCAAGTTGTTCAAAGAAAAACAACACAGACAAAAAAAAGAAAATGAACAAATCATCAGGAAATAATATTTTTTGTGTACGTTTGTCATGTTCACGCCGGTGCTCAACCTAGATCGAAACTATGTTCAGTGTTTGCTGGCCCAATGTTGTGACAGTCAGGGTGCATCGCGGAATTCCCAGATTGAGTCCGCTTTGGGTTGTTTTTTTTTATCCTTGAGGTTCGTTTTGCACAGTTTGTGCTATTTGGAAGGATGCTGAGGATCTTTTGGGCTTGCCTCACATCAAAAATAGCACAAAAACACAGCAAGAATCACGTGTTTTCTTTGTGAAGTGAAGAAATGATCAAACGGGGAAAAGTTAAGTCCAGTAGTGTCCAAACATAGGCTACGCGGCTACATGGGGTCAAAATGCGCCCAGCATGCACCTGACGAAATCCAATATAGGGACAAATAACTCAATATAGTATAATATAGCCTCCATTTAGGCTCAACATGTGTTTTGCCCCAAAACCAAAAAAAGAGCTCAATATAAATATAGGCCAAAACCAAGGGCGCAATAGGATTTCTAGGAGGATCTTTGAACTTTGTAAAGTCTATATATATACAAGATATCTTTTATCTAGATTTGACCGTCAAAAGAAAAATCAACTAGTTTACAATGGTCTCACAAAGTTTAAAACATATAAACGAAACGTTGCAAACAGGCTTTATTGTGATTTAATAGTTCCAAGAGAGCTCACACGTTCTACCGTGAGCAAACAAGTCCGGTGGTGGTGGTTGTCGCGAAGCGACCTACAGTTCAAATAGCTTAATCATTTTCTGAGATCCTGCCGCCCTGCCTCAACAAGCTTCTCTTCAATCAAACGTCTAGCAGCCACACCTTTGGCATGTGAGCAAAAAACAAACGTCACCTCTCCAACCTACCAGTTACTTTGCTTCTCTTTGAAGCCAACTCTCATCCAATGGCACATAACAACTACAGCAAAGTGATCAAAGAACGATTATCCGATTTGCTCCTGTATGTTTTGACATTTTTTGACTATATATAAAGCAGAGAATCGGCTCCAGCTTTTGCTTTCCGCACTGGGCATCTGAACGCTGTGCGAAGCCGCCGGTGATCCGCAACTTGCTAAACCCAAGCTCCTGAATCTGAATTCATGATTTCGCTTGCCAAATCTTGCCACAACTGTGCCACAACTAGAAGGAAATGGTCCTTCGTTGACTGATCAATGGTCACAGAGGCTCCGCTCTGCAGCTCAATCTGCTTCAACACCTCAAGCATTTGCCACATTACATGTGTTGCTCTCACAGAAACCCAAAATTATTCATAGTGACGGACAATCACTTAGAACTTAGAACCCTTTTCTTCCAAAATGTTCTGACTCGACACTTGTAACCCGACCAAACCTCCACACTTAGAACCCGGGGTTCTATCTGTGAGGCTTTTCTTTGACACCAGGTTCTTGTTGTGAGCACTCGCAAGGGCACAGACATATGTGAGTTTGCACAACCAGGTTCATATACAAAAGTATCTATGACATGATATATGCATGCCTGTGAATATATGTACAGTACGTATACAAAGAGGTTCAAAGTGTGAGCGCTCGCAAGGGCACAGACACATGTGAGTTTGCACAACACGGGTTCATCTCACAAAAGTATCTATGATCTATGATCTCATATATGTAAATTTGTGAATTTATGTGTACGTATACAAAGAGGTTCTAAGTGTGAGCACCCGCCAGGTGACAAACAATATTATGCGAATTTGCACAACTTGGGTTCATATACAAAGGTATCTATAATCTGATGTATATATGTATACGTGTGAATACTTGTTAATATATGTATGCATACAAAGAGGTTGCAAGTGTGAGTGTGTACAAGGGCAGGCGCATATGTGGGAATAACAACATTTACATAGAAATAATATGTATTGGGTTCTAACTGTGGTGATTTCCTGATGTTCTAACTGTGGGAACATGTGCCAACCTTACCTGACAACTTCTTGTTTTTTATTTTCCAAAATAGGTTCTAAAACATTGTCCGTCACTATAATAAATATGTATTAGAAGAACCTAATATAATTTTATCACAGCAACCCCAATTGCTGTAAGTTGCTATCACAGCAACCCCAATTGCTATAAGTTGCTGTCACAGCAACCCCAATTGCTATAAGTTGCTGTCACGGCAACCCCAATTGCTATAAGTTGCTGTCACAGCAACCCCAATTGCTATAAGTTGCTGTCACGGCAACCCCAATTGCTATAAGTTGCTGTCACAGCAACCCCAATTGCTATAAGTTGCTATCACAGCAACCCCAATTGCTATAAGTTGCTGTCACAGCAACCCCAATTGCTATAAGTTGCTGTCACGGCAACCCCAATTGCTATAAGTTGCTGTCACAGCAACCCCAATTGCTATAAGTTGCTGTCACGGCAACCCCAATTGCTATAAGTTGCTGTCACAGCAACCCCAATTGCTATAAGTTGCTATCACAGCAACCCCAATTGCTATAAGTTGCTGTCACAGCAACCCCAATTGCTATAAGTTGCTGTCACGGCAACCCCAATTGCTATAAGTTGCTGTCACAGCAACCCCAATTGCTATAAGTTGCTGTCACAGCAACCCCAATTGCTATGTATGGGTCTGTATGGGTTGCTGTCGCAGCAACCCAATTCGTTGTAGCATTTCCAGGTCAAGTACAATGGCAAGCAAGATATAATATGCATTCAGTACACACTGAAGTACGTATTAGTACATAGGCTTCCTCATTGACCTAAACAAATAAGACCTATTGCATAGACCCCAACAAAACAGGGAACTGATTTTGTGAACTATGTTTTGGTCTTTGATATGTTGGTTTGTCGTGAGTATGGGCAAGTGTTGTCACCGTTCCGATAGTCTGTGTCGAGGTTCTAAATTCCTTGTTACTGTTCTCAGAAGACTGTTGTGGTGTTTTTTAGCCTGTTGAACCAACTGCCATTTCTGAAGGGTTCCATGATGTTGAGCATCGTTGAGCCGTTTCCACCTGGCCAAGTTCAGTAGACCCGGAGTAGATTGGGCTTGGAAGTTTGGGATCAGCTGAGGATCAGACCATGCCCGACTTGCCCAGGATCCACCCAACCAGTCGCTGCTGAACCTCACCCAGAAGAGGCTGCTGGCTGCTAAGATACAAAAGGGGTGTGAAATAGTTTTAGGATTTTTTTTTTGAGCAGGTTTGGGATTTTTTTTGGATTTCTTGGCTGGTACCATTTGCCTAGTGTTTGCAACGGTTTGGAACTTGAATTTGTCATTTTGCATGGTATTTGCCACATTTGGGCATGTTCACCCTCCATTTTGCATGGGATTTACTACATGTGGGCATGTTCACCTTCCATTTTGTATGGTATTTGCCACATTTTGGCATGTTCACCTTCCATTTTGCATGGGATTTCCTACATGTGGGCATGTTCACCTTCCATACAATTTGCCACATTTTGGCATGTTCACCTTCCATTTTGCATGGGATGTTCTACATGTGAGCATGTTCACCCAAATATTTACAGATGCGGAAGCTTGGGATTAGATAAAAAGCGGGTGGGGGGGATTGAGGGAGGGCGCTAGCTATCTATCCAGCTAGCTAGCTATCTAGCTATCTAGCTAGCTATCTATCTAGCAAGCTAGCTATCTATCTAGCAAGCTATCTATCTATCTAGCTATCTATCTACCTATCTAGCTATCTTGCTAGCTATCTATCTACCTATCTAGCTATTTAGCTATCTACTATCTATCTAGCTATCTAGCTATCTAGCTTTCTATCTATCTAGCTATCTATCTATCTAGCCATCCAGCTGTCTATCCAGCTATCTAGCTATCGAGCTATCTAGCTAACTATCTATCTAGCTATCTATCTAGCTTTCTATCTATCTAGCTATCTATCTATCTAGCCATCCAGCTGTCTATCCAGCTATCTAGCTATCGAGCTATCTATCTAGCTATCTATCTATCTAGCTAACTATCTACCTATCTATTTAGCTATCTATCTATCTATCTATCTATCTAGCTATCTATCTAGCTACCTCTTTATCTATCTAGCTAGCTATCTATCTATCTATCTAGCTATCTATCTAGCCATCTATCTATCTAGCTATCTATCTAGCCATCTATCTATCGAGGTATCTAGCTATCTATCTCTCTAGCTATCTATCCATCTAGCTGGCTATCTATCTATCTAGCTATCTATCTACCAAGCTATCTATCTATCTATCAGCTATCTGTCTATCTATCTATCTATCTATCTATCTATCACATGTAAACCTGTCAGCTTTCCAGAGAAGGTTAGTTCGCAAAAACCAACTAATGTAACTTGGGTTTAAGTTTAAATAAAAAAAAGCGGGAGGGGGGGATTGGGGGAGGGCGCAGCGCCTCCCCCCAAAGCAGAATGCAAGCACCTCTTCTCACATGTTACGTTGCTAGTTTTCAAGAGAAGGTTGGTCATGTGATACTCAGGGATGTAAATACTGTGCAAAATGCATCTTACATGAAAATCAAGTATTTAAAGCAGGCAAAGCAAAAAAAAGCAGAGAAGCAAAAAAGCAGAGAAGCAAAGAAACAGGAAACGCACAAAAGCAAAACAGCAGAAAGGCAAAGAAGCAGGAAAAGCAGAAAAGCAGAGAAGCAGGAAAAGCAGGAAAAGCAGAGAAGCAAAGAAACAGGAAAAACAGAAAAGCAAAAAAGCAGAAAAGCAGAGAAGCAGGAGAAGCAGGAGAAGCAGAAAAGCAAAAAAGCAGAAAAGCAGAGGAGCAGAGAAGCAGGAGAAGCAGAAAAGCAAAAAAGCAGAAAAGCAAAGAAGCAGGAAAAGCAGGAAAAGCAGGAAAAGCAGGAAAGCAGAGAAGCAGGAAAAGCAGGAAAAGCAGGAAAAGCAGAGAAGCAGGAATCCAAAAATAATTCCTAAACCTGATCAAAAAAAAATCCTAAAATAATTAGCCCTCCAAAGCATAACCAGCAACGTGCCACTGCCTCCATTTCAGTGGTTTCGGTATCCTGGATGCCACTGGATGCCACTGGATGCCACTCGCACGAAATCAAAAGCCCTGTACAAATTCCGTGAATGCTTCTGCCCTCGAGCATACTGAAGGTCTGTGTGCCCCTATAACATCTTCGACCTCTCCATATCCATTAAGATCTGTCATACTTTGCCCTCAGATCCTGTCCTGGCGGAACTCACCAAAGCCTTGCTTGGGATCTTTGTTGGCCAAGGAGATGGACGACTGGCCGCGGCCGCCGCTGTGGTCCACAAAAGGCGTGCAAATGTCCATCACAATTCCACTTGTGCAACATCAGACGTCGCTGAAAGACTTCCATCCATTCACAAGAACAGTTTATGCGACATAGTGACCAAACTTGATGCCTGGATTCTTCGCTCTGCAAGTTGAACCTTGAGGTTTCACCGTAGAGTCAGGCCCTGGAAGAAAAGTCATACCAAGGCATATACCTGCATTGCTCGTTCAATTCCCTCTTTGAGGACTGCGCGGCTGACATGGAGCCGAAAACATGAACCTTGGATCGCTTCCGTCTTCCAAACCAGTCATAAGTTTCCGAAAAAGTGCCAGCAAGAGAACCCAGTCAGCCATCAGCTCGAAAAGGCCTCACCTACAAAGGTTTGGGTTGGAAACATCAGACACTGCCACGGCACTACACTATAGCCAGCATCCTTTGTTGTCTGGTCCTTAGTTGGGAGCGTCGAATGTCAGATGGATCCCCTGGACCCTAGCAAATGTCTCAATGTCTGGTCCACTGTGAGAAACACGGCTGTTTTTTACCCAGTTGTGCGCAGATATCAGTCAGGCACAGTTGTGTCGTGCAGTATGGAAGTATTGGGCAGTACCGCACACAGCCCATTGCCAGCATTTTAACTGTCCATGGGTGAGTTCAAATTCGAAAGGGACCCTAATTAAAAATGGTGAACATCGCGGCATTAGAGTTTGCGCCTCAGTACATCTAGTTGCAGCTGCTCATTTCTGGTATTCTGGATTCAGCCTAGCTCAGCTTAGCTCAGCTTGTCCACCATTGCTTGGAGTTCGGCGATTTGTGCTTTCATATCAATCACAGCCAACTTCACACCCTCAGGCTTGCAATGGAGGTTGTCAATGAAGATGTACATCAATGGAAGGAGAATTGCCAGCAACCACAGCAAAGGCTCTGCAATCTTGTAGGACCAATGGGTGAACTTGGACTTCATTTGCGGGATCTCATGAATGTCGTAGGGCGTGAGATGGTCAGGCAGGTCAAGCTCAATCATCATGTCGAAGACATCCCAATAGTAGAGTTTTCCAAGCTCTTCTCCATCCCAATCCTCATCTCCCAGAAAGCCCATCTCACCTCCAATGTCATCCAAGTTGTAAAGGAAGGTCACTGCCATAGCATTGAACAGCACGTCCATGGGTGTGTCTGAAAGGACGAAGGAAAAGTAGGTGATCACTACGCACTCCAGAACCACCACACAGTTCATGATGCGGCCGGTGATTAGCCAAAAATAGCTCACGTCCTTGTTGTAGCCCTCGTAGTTTGTCTGCCTCCATTCAAGCATCGCCGAAATCTTCATTGACGCAATGCGCTCTTGTTTGATCACCACCATTCCATTCAATGTGAACATAAACAGAAAGATTGTGGCTACAACGTGCTTGGAGAAGTTGGAGACTCCATGGTACATGTTCCAGTCATCCACTCCAAACTTCCAGTGGGTCCAATCCATTCGATACAAGTTGTTGATGATGCAGGCTGGGGGTGCAAATGCTTGAGCTGCGAAGATGAACAGAAGCCCAAGGTTCTGGACGCTCTTCAGGTTGCTCACGATTCCAAGGCCCCACCAACGATACATGTTGCCAGGAATGGGCATGACCTCTTCATCTGCATCGCGGTCCTTCTTGTTTGCGGCAGCGTACTCCATGAGCTCACGATAGCTGGTTGCATCATCAACAGCTTTGGCTTCTGGTGGTTCTGCATCTTCTCCTGTCCCAATTTCCATGTCACGCGGTGTTGTCAAAGGAGCCTCCTCATCTTCATCTGGAGCCATGGTATGGTGAGCCTCACGGAGGAGCTGCCGACTCATCCCACGTCTCCCACGACCGTAGCTCCCGTCATAGCCATGGTTGTCTGCTTCCAAGTCCTGCTTGGTTTGGGCTTTGGCCAGGGCTCTGCGCTTTGCCAAGACTGGTGCAAAGGCCTTGCGCGCCCACCAGGGCCATTTCTCTGACCTCCTCAACGACATTGCTCGAGGCGTCCAGGCGTCGAGGCGAAAGCTTTTTAGGTTCTAAGGATCTTAGCCAAAACCCTCCCAGAAGAAATGGTGAGGTGCCAGTGTGCCAGGTATGGAAATCTGAAAAGCGTCATCATTGTCTTCAGGAACAAACCGTTGACTGTGGCTTCACATTGCACAACGCTTCCAGCGAGACCAAGGACGTCAGAAAAAAAAAACTGAGGCCAAAGCGATCGTGATCTTCGCTCCAGTCTCATCCTATTGCAGAGCTCGACGTTACAACGAATGCGTGTGCACATCACTAAGCTTGTCCGTTGCAGTCAAAAAGTAACAATGTCCTGGATTTGTTGTACCGTCTTTCCACGACCTCCCAGCAGCCAACCCACCAACTGTTGCTGCACCTGCAGAGTTCGTGGGATGAGAAGAGTTGGAAGTCTTCAAGGCATCTGTGTTTGCATCAATTTGTGTAACTGTATCCGGCTTCAACATTGGCCGGTCACAGGACAAAGCCTTGGGTAAATGCAGGTTGTAAAAAACATCCATGTATGCGGATCTAAATTCCTGACGGTTGTAACGGCATATAATTCCGCTGCACCTGTATGTCCATGGTGTGTTGAGTGTGTTGAGAGCTGTCTAGCAGAGGTAGTGCACCTCCACTCCTGCATTTGGGTTCAGTGCAGGACTTTGGATCACTCGACTTTGTGCAGTAAGCAGCTGCACCATGGTTCGAACATTGTCCTGAGAGGTACCAAAGATTTCAACGACTCAACCTTGGCAAGGGGCGAACAGGCACATGTACCAGCAGCATGTCGTTGCTTCGTTGGATTCGAATACACCAAGGCCAGAGCAACGTCAGGATGAGTATGCAGGGTTTCTTGAAGCGTTGGAAGGAGTCGCCAGAGTGCATCTTGGCCTAAACAACACATGCCTGGTCAAAGCTTCTGCAGTTCCTTGAAATGACAAATGGTTTCCTCCCCAACTTGAATTGCACCTACGACTGACTAGGGTAATTTGTCCCACTTCATCTTCATCATACCGAAAATCTTAATTACGTACATTTCCCCGACTTTGGAAACCTTGTTCGTCTCACGTCCACTGTTCCGAAAGCTGAAGTTTCTCAGGCATTGGCCAGAGTGTTCTACTAGTGAACTGGCCTTGGCGATACCCATTGTGACTTGGTTGCTGGCTGGGTATCAGAGGTATCAGTTTTTAGCTCTGGGGTGCTCACCAAACACCACACTGCATCAATCAAGCCGCTCTCTCTGCCTTTTCCATGGTGACCATGGTGACCAAGGCCACCCGCAGAGGTCCTGAGAATTCGAGGCTCTCCACAAACAACTTCAAAGTCAATGGATAATCCAGATGGGTTTGACTTAAAATAGGGTATACGGTATACCCAAAAAATGACATCTTAAATGGTGAAAATGATGATCAATCATCAAGATTGGGATGTTTTCAATAGATATGTATCAGTATGCATTTAATTATGTATACATATATGTGTATGTGTATATACAAGACATATATATATGAAAATATATCTATGTGTAAACATGTGTATATATATATATATATGTTAAAAACAAATGTATATATAAAAAATAATATATATACAAATGCAAAATATATATATATATATGTGTATGCATATATGCATATATATGAAATTAAATCTGTATATATATATTAATATATACAAATGAAATCATATATATATGTGCATATAAATATATGTGTTTATATGTAAGTATGTATATATATATGCAACTATTTGTAAATAAATAAATAAATATATATATGTAAGAATGCGTATATGCAAGCATGTACATATGCATTTACGCATATATGTAAATATGTTTATATGTACACATGCATACATGTATATGTGTACATACATGTATATAGGTACTCACATGTGAACATGCATATGTGTATAAATATATATATATATGCGGAACCATGTATCTGTATGTATGTATGTATGTATGTATATATGTATATATGTATGTATGTGCATATGTATGTATATATGTATGTATATAGGTATGTATATATGTAAAAAGGCTGATATTTATATATGTATTTGTGTAAAAGGGTATATATGTATATACGTACATATGTATACATGTATATACATGTGTATACATGTATATACATGTATGTACATGTACATGTATATTCATGAAAATACATGTACATACATGTGTATATGTATATATGTGCCCATGTATATATGTATGTATGTATATACATGTAAAAATGAAAAATTATATATATATATATATATACATGTATTTGTATCTATTTATGTATATCTGTATTTATGTATAAATGATTGTATTAATTTCAAAGTGTATATGTGTATTGTTGTATATACATGTCCATATGTATGTATATGTATAAATATAAATAGACGTATATATATACGTGTATGTATGTATATGTATATATATATGTGGCAGGGACCTTTGGGGTCTATTTCATTCCTCCCCACACAAACGTAATCAAACGTAATTCTAGATGCATATTTACATAAGTAAATATGTCTACATGTGTGTACAAGTTCAACAGAAAGTCGCAATTCTTTCCCTTGCCCCTCAACCTGCGCAGCGTCCGTTTTCTGCTCCAAGAGATGCTGTCACCAGCACGGGCACACGCACGCCAATTTGAACTCCGGGCAGAAGAGTCCTCCAGTGTCAATTGTGTTCCATCCCTGCAAGCTACAAAGTTTTGGAATGCGCATGCAAGTTTGGGACTCTTGTGCGCTCATGCATGGGAATGTTTTGGTTCTCATGAGTTTGTAGTTGTTCAACTGGTTGCATGCTTAGTAATAAGAAGCATAGTTTTATAGAAAAAAAACGCCTTAAGGGAACCTCATGGGCATGTAACACAAGCAACAAAGCAATGCAAACATGTTCCACCACTTCCACCTGTAGTGATGAAGAGGGAGGGTGATGGCGGCCAACCCCCATGGGCAATCCCCAAGAAGGCTAGAAGGTTGCCTAAGCCTGTGGCAAAACCAATTCTAAGCAGATGCTTAGCGCATTTATTTCATTCCAAAGCCGCCCAGACCATGTATACAATCCTTGGCAGTCCCCACTGGCTTTATTTTGTCATACTCATCAGTTCATTGTTTTTGGCCGCACTGTTGTCCGCTCTCGGGATCCTTCGAATGAAGAAGAGTTGCAGAAACAGACCTTGGACCTCTTGGTGAACTTTGCATACAGGCTGCAGATGGATGGCCTGATGCCTGACCTGCCAGAACAGCCACCAGGTGAGCCCAGTAGTGGATCTGGTTTTCTGCGAGAAGTGGAAAGTTCCAAAGCCAAACACCCAGGTGCACCACCACTTGAAGCTTCTATGGCAATGGCACCTGGCCCAAGTCCAGGTATCTGTGCGTCTTCACCAGCCAGTGCAACTACGGTTTTGCCAGTTCAACCTGATGTTGGTTTGTTGGCACCTGCCACTCCTAAAGGCCCCTTCTGAGGCTTCACCAGCATGGCATGCATCCCCAAGAACTACCTGGTCCAGTTCCAGAAGCAATGGGGGAGGTTGACTTGTACTCCTGACCAGGTGAAGAAATGTCTATATTGCACCAAACAAAAAGTCTCTCAAGCTTCGACTGGGTCTTCGTCTACTCAAGATGTATCTGATAGGAAATTCATACATTTTCTCAAGCATCATATGTTTCTATGGTTTTGTTTTCTGTGTGGGATTCAAGTTTCTTGATCTATGCATTATGATTAGTATTGTTCATTCTCAACCCTGGCTCAGGTACCAGAGTTTATGCCTCCTGAAGAAACTTCTAGTGGAGGTTGGTTCAGGAAAGTTTCTGGGCTAATAGTTGCTTGGAAGCTTGGAGAAGTGCACAGGATGAAACGTCTACTACAACGATGGGAAGAGGTTCCACGGTTGAAGGCTTATGTGGCAGCTTTGGTGGGCTACGTCAAAATGTACGGATGGCCCAAGAACTTGGAGGGTGATTATGGCTTGAACACTTGTACTGGCTTGAGATCTTACTGGCTCCAGCAAAGCCTGGGTGGTGAAAAAAATCCTTATCAAACAGTAAGAACTTCAATTCTGAATTCTAAATTGAACACAGTCACCATTTCAATTCAGAAATCTAGATTGAAAATCAAACAGTCGCCATTTCAATTGATTCGTGGCTACCAGGTTGAAATTCATCATGTTTTTGAAGCATACGGGAACTCAGGTAGTATGAGGATAGAAGTAAACAAATTGCTCGCTTGCTCAGGCAGTATGCTCTTGAGCACTTCAAGCAGAATGAAGGCCCACATCTTTTGCCTGCCGGCCTGAAGAACTTGATCAAAATCAATTACATGTTGGCTGGGGTCCCTGTTCCTTCTGGCGATGCTATCTGTGCATGATATCTGCAGCTGCATGCCAATAGTGCGTGGCAAGCCTGGATGAAAACATACTTGGGTGGAATCAAAAAATTGCGTGAGGAGAAAAAATATCTAAAAAACACCGTGTGGTGTACTTGCTTTTTTCTGGCCCAGTGGCCTTTCCTGCTATTTTGAAACTATTGTGTTTTATGCCCAAGGGGCTTTCATGTAAAGGTCCATGGTTGGGTATGAGAGCCCACTGAGATTTATTTATATGCTTCTAACCTTAAAGGGTCCCAGAAGTCGGGTCTTGCAGGAGCAATTGCCCGTAAAAGCGCAAAGGCTCCCATCTTGGCCAGCTCAGCCGATACCTTTGCTTCGAACCACGTCATCATTGGATGAACCTGGAGGTTGCGGATGCAAGGTGGAGCTACTGGCATTGTCTGTACTTGAACTGGGAATATCATGCTTTGAGGTCTTAAATTGGGACACGTTTTCAGGGGTAGTCTTCCGGCGAATCCATTTCCACCTACTCTTTTAAAGGGTCTCAGAATCCATTTCCACCTACTCTTGCTACAGAAGGCCCAGAAGATACAGTTTTGCTGCTGCTTTGCCCTGTGGGGCTTTCATTTTATTTTGTAAACTAAATTGTTTCTGCCCAAAGGTGCTTTCATGTAAAGGCTTAAACTCCTTTATCCCATGCCCAAAGGGGCTGTCATAATTCTAACTTTGAAGGATGGCTACTTGGGACGTTGAGGACTTAGTCAAGGAGATTAGCGATATGGAAGTGACTTACCAAAGGAACACTGGTTCACAGCTGGTGCCACGAATGCAGGAAGCCTTGCAGTCCAAAGTGAACAGTGTCCAAATGCTCACTGCTTCTAACTTCTTGAAGCGTTCTGATGCTGTTCAAAAAAGGCATCTTGCCTGCTGACACGAAGGCAGAGCTGCAAGCATTTCTCAAATCAAGGGCAGCCTCTTCAATCCAAGGGGCCACCAGGTTGCACCTCAAAGCATGACCACGCCTTGGAACTACTTGTCCCACAGTGAATGGCAGCAAGTGCAGAATGGCATCAACAAAGTTGATGCCACCCACATGCTGATCAAAAGGATCCAAGTGTGTGGGTTGAAAAGCCTCAAAGAAGACACCCAGAAGTACCTTGACATCCTTTTTGGTCAGCCTTCAGATGAAATCACCAATGTCTTGCTTCCTGTTTTTGAAATGTACAAATTTTGTGCTGGATACTTTCGAGGCTGTGGTGGCTCAACCTCTGCATGCTGGTTTGGCAAGGTACCCACCTAGCCCCCACGACATTGGGGAGGCAATGGGTTTGTAAAATCTTTGGTGATGGCTGCTTTCAAGCTGATAATTTTGAAATCAAGGTTTGGCCATGACATAATCCCTGAACACACACACTTGCTCAGAAACATCATTGCGAATTTTGTTGTGGAATGCATCGCTCGTGCACAAAACAATCCATAAAAAACTGACAGGAAAAAATGAATGACCAGGCGTGAGAGACAGTGGAAAAGAATTCTTTCTAAGTCCTTGCTAGAAGCAACTGTTCCATCTGACGAAGTCAGCAGTAATTCAGATTGCGAAAACCGTACAGTCATGACTCACAATTGGTGTTTGAAATTCGACATGCCGGTTCTGGGCTTAGCCGGTTGCCATTCAGAGGAATGAAAATTGATGCAGGTACGCAGAGCTGATCAGGCTCTGTATCACAACGAACTGACAGTGTCTTCGTTGGGCAGTGTCTGTCAGTCGTGCACTGCCCCCCTGCATGAAAAAAGAAAATCATGAA